AGTTACTTCTGCACAAAGCCAATAATAGAAAATGCAGCCTAAGGAATGTAGTCACAGGCCAGGAATATTTGATCTCTTGTCATCTCTGCTTAGCTCTTCATCGAAAAATGTATTACCTGTTCATAGATATAACACACCATTATCCAACCACAATGAACTACCAACAATATTTTATCTTCTCCTTCCTCTACACCAGAGTGACTCCTGATTGTAAATGCTGTTTAGATCAAGTTTCTCAATCAACACTAAATTAGGAAACTATTATTATTACAATTTTGCATGTGCAGAAGTGTGTGATTGCCCTATATTGACCTGTCTGGCACAAATGACCCATCATAACAGGTAGTTCTGAGAAGGCTGCAGCAAAGACAGGGTGCTTGATTTTTATTAGGGACATCTCTACTGTCACATAAACCCAGGATTTTCATAAACACAAATACCTCTTAGATGTTCCCAGCAGTATGAGATTAAAGTTCAAACAGATATCTGTAAACAGTAAGAAATTTCCTCAGCAAACACAAAGTTTTTGTGTAACAAAGGGGCCTTTCATTTTAACGTTCCTCCGAACTGCAGCTGTTTCGGTGCTGTGAGATTGTTTGGAGTTTACTGCAGTGATAAGATCTTACATGAGATTTCTGAGGGGAAAGCTAGAAGGACCAGTTCTGTCAGTAAAAAATTCACCTCAATGGAGCTGTGCCAATTTACATCAAACAGCGGTGTGGCCCTGATTTCTTATGCAGCAAGCTGTTTTTCCCTTCTTATTATTACCACTGCTTGACCTTTCAAGTTTGAACCAAATTAATTGCCACCAGATGATAAAATAAATTCTAAGACTTCATCTTTATAACTGAGCCTTCCTATTTCCTTATGGACACATGAAAAATTTCTAATGTAAGGAGATCTATGGCTCATTGCATTATGCTGCCCAGATCTGTGCACAGGTGAGATCCTAACTCAGCAGGTAGTTCTCTGTTCCTGTGTAGAGCAACTGTAGGATGGAGCTTATCTACATCACTTCGGTCCCTTTTTAACATTTCAGAGATCATCCTGAGGCCCATAATATTTAAACACGAAAGGACTTTATCAGGAAAGGAAGAAGAGAGCCTCCCAAAATGAATCCTGAAGCCACGTTGATAAGCATGCAGATTTAAAGATCTGAAGTGAGTGCCCCTTGTGGCAGCCACAAAGCACATAAATACTCTCCTAAGGAGCCAAAGATGTATCAAAGAAATTGCAGAACTGCACAAAGGTGCCAGGCATCCAAGTGGCCTCTGTGCAGCAGATCTTGAGATGTGAATCTACTCTCCAAGTATTCTGGGATGACTTTGAGAGAGAAACGTCATAGAAGGCATTTCACCTCCTGCTTCAGTGGGCAGTTTTATCCCTGGATAAATGGGAAATTTCTAACTTTTATCTATAGCCCTATGTTATAAATATGTTGTGGCAGTGACTGCAAAATATTTGCCAATAACTGGGAGTTTTCATTGCCAGAATAGCCTGGATTTCTAGATGCTATTATTATATTATTAACACTGGCCACGAGAACAACCACTTCTGAAGTCTATAGTAGCAGCTTAGTAACAGCTCACAACAGACTTTTTGGTTGCAGTGCAGCTCTCAAAAGGTCAAATGCCTTTACCATCATAGCAGCACAACAGCAGCTCTCCTTGCAGGTACCCTCTGCAAGGCTGATAAAACATGACTGAGCACCAGAGGCAGTTACAGATCCCACCGGGCCACCTCAAGTAGGGCTACTGGCAGAAGGAGAAACATTTCCATCATTTCATATGCCATCTTGTCCTCACTTTCAGGATTTTTCACAATGTTACATCTCCATACTTGCCCATTTCTATCTGTCCGTTCTCCACCACTCTCCCAAACCTTGATCATCAGTTTATCAGTGTTCTTAATGATCTCCAAATTCTCTTCCACATCTTTTCTATTCATTGAATTTTATTTTTTATTTTTTTAATTAATTCACAGAGGCATTACTACTCTCCTCTTTCAGCTCATTCCTCACGATCTATATCCACCAAGATATCTGCAGGAAATTGCAAGCTTATAATAGCTTCTCAGACAATCAGTGATGATGCTCAAAGCACTTTAAAATGGATTCTGTGTCTTATATATTGTTCCACCCTCTTCACTGGATTATTTCTGAACTGACTGATGTCACCTTCATGTTTTTTAATCTCTTTATTAAACATGTCACATTCTCTACAAGGAGTTGTGCTTACAAGCAGGACACAAATTTCAGGCTACGTAGTGAACCAGAGAGATGGAACAGAGCAGAAAGTGGGGGTTAACTCCACCCTGCACACAGCTGAAAGATATAAAGAAGGCTTCAACTACATATCCTGGAAGATTCTATACACCTCATGGCCTTTGGGGTCCTATCATCCCCAGCTCATTATGGGCTTCATACAGCCCTGAAAAGGCAGGGATGGTTACAGATAAATTTTACTCTCACAGAGCCATTGATCCAAATCGACTTTAAGGGCTTCTATGGATTAGTCCAGAATTAACCACAAGGTAACACAGAAGAAGACCAGCATAGTTACTTAAACAAAGGCACAGAAGTTTACACTGATCTCATCTGCTTGCTTTAGGGGACACTACAGTTACACTGCAATTAAGTTCATGGTAACATGCTGTAAATCCAGACCAGTTCTCCCGACTTCAGAGGAGTCAATAAGGATTTACATGAGTGTAAGCAAGGATGAAATCTGGTCCTAATTTAGGACACATCTGTCAACACAGATGGAGCTGAGAGAGCTTATTGTCATGTTATTTTCTTATTTCTGTTTGAGATTCTATTCACAGTGGAGTCAACTCAACAATTTTAAAATCTCGGAACACAGGCAGTGTCATCCCCCCTTTTGTGTGTCTAGTAATTTCTATCAGAGTGTGAGATGGCCTGGTACTCAGGCTAAGTCACAACAGCTTAAGAAAATATTCTCATGAGAAATAATGGATTAAATTGTCATCCTGTAACCACTTAAGAAGTTGATTAACGTTTCTGTGATGAGCAACTCTTTTGGCATACTTCGGACAGTTGTAAAATTAATCACATGAGTCACAGCTTGTACAATCATATCCCATAGAGTGCTGTACTACAGCCTTCATCCAGGCAAAATTCCAAGAAAGTCATGTAGAGCTTTGTCTGAGTGGTGGATTTATTGCTTGGTGGCTGCAAATCTAAAAAAGTAATAATAATTGTTACCTTTCAACCAAAATTTATGTTGTGATTCTGGGCCTTAACTTGTTGCTCTTTAAAACTGTTATTCTTCCTGTTGTCCATCTGTTCTGACCACCACAGAAAGAGGATGAGGGAGAAGAACTTTCATGCAAAGCATGGAAGAGTATTCTGTAACGTGTAAGTATCTTGTATGTTACAAAATAGACTGTTTCTTTCTCTCTGACATCCAATAGGTCCTGATGGTTTATTTGCTTTGTTTAAATTAGGCAAATAATATGTGTATTTTCTGTCATAAAAAGAAAATAGTAAGAAGACTGCTGAGCTGAAGTTACCTATCTAAAGAACTCATAATCTGATTCCACAGGAATCACTGTTTGGAGAAAGTAATGATTTTATGACCTAGAATGTTTTTTAAGACCTAGTTGTTTTTTAAGCTGTGCTGTTGCTTTGTGGCTAGAAGCCTTAAAGGTTTTGGACATCACTGATAATGTTTTAAGGAATAAAAACACTCAAGCAGTTGAGTACCAATTTTGTGCAACAAATAAAAAGCTCAAGTTTTAAAAGTCAGATTCCTAGTAATAAAAGACAGAAGGGTAAGTTTTTTTCTGATTTATGTGAGTATTTTTAATCTGCCATACCTGTTTATGCCAGCAATGGCTTGGAGTGCACTGTGAAATGTAAAGGAATACCAAAACACTGCTCTAAACACTGCTCTAAAGCAGTGCAAATCTGGGATAACTCCAGTATTCAAAATTCTCTCTCAAAAGTAGTGTGACAAAAAAAGTCAAACCAAACATATGCTGACGTGCAGAATTTGAAACAAAATGAGACACATATGGAGAGGAAATTACATTATAATTATTTGATTATATAATTCAAATGAATGTCAGGGTCCCATGACAGATCCATGAAGGAGATGGGTTTGCTAATCTACCAGTAGCCATATTACTGTAAATCTGGAGTTGGTTCAGTGGCTTCAAACTAATTCCAAATATTCTGTAAAATCTTGCAGATATTTTTCCCTGCTGTCTACTTTAAGCAGGTGGTTATTAGCTTTGTAATCTGAACTCTTATGTAATAGACCATCCTCAATTTCAATACTCTCAGGTGTACTCTCAGATGAACAATTCAGTACAAGTTCAGCTTTCCCAGTGGCTTGTTATTTATGTTGCTGTCTTGAAATTTACTAAGGTTAAGAAGAATTAGAATCAGAAAACTTCTGTTTTTCAAGATATAACCCAGGAAACACAATTCAAAAGGCAACTGTGACCTAGTGGCTGGCAACCCTGTCCATGACAGAGGCAGTTGGAACTACATGATCTTTAAGGTCCCTTCCAATCCAAGCTATTCTATTATTCTATGACCTCTCAGTTATGGTTGCCCATATTTAAAATTCTGAATCAGAATTATCTATGATGTACGTTGAATGGAAGGTTTTGATGTTCAATCCCAGAATTTCCCTACACAAGAGATTTCAAAAGCTTTTAGGCAGAGAAAGGTAAAAAAAAAAAGTAAAACACCTAACAACTACATACATGGAAAAAACCCTCTCTGCCCATGGCACTGCTGAGAGCTAAGCTGCTGCCCACCACCAGGTAAAAATCATACAGCACTCTACCTCAGCTGAAGCTTGTAAGAGCTGAGGTGATTGGCACTAGCTGAGAAGGAGGGTGATAAGCATGGAGGGAGGTGCTAAGGATGGAGAAGCTTGTGGAAGGGAGTGGATATAGGAGATCTTTAGTAGGGGCTACTTACTAGTGTTATTTTTCTTTTTGTGGCAGGTGTTCAGGAGAGCTCAGGCATGGTCAGCCATTGGGTTGTGTTAGTCCTCTGCTGCCTGGGACAGCTTTGTGCAGGTAAGTGATACTTATCTCTGATCTTTTCTCTTGATCCTCTCTTTGTATCTCATCATTTTTCTGTTTGGGTGGAGTTACTGGAGATTGGTTTTGTTTTTTGGTGTGTGTGTGTGATTTTTTTTTTTCTTTTTTCTTTTTCTTCAAGCTCTTTCCTGGGACCTGTGCTGAAAAAGATTTTCCAATATTATTTTGGCAACTTTCCTTTCCAGATCAGAGCATGAAACCTCGGCTTGCAGCCCCTCAGCTTGCAATAAACAATCCCACTCTCACTACAATTGCTCTAGAGAAACCTTTCTGTACGTTCGATAGCTCACTACATCCAAACAAATCTTATGCCATCTACTTGTATGTAATGAAAAGTTCAGGTAAGTATCAAGCATTATTTCATCTCTAGAAAATAACTACATTATATGGCCATTGCATGCTATTCTTCAGAATTTGATGGGAGCAAGAATCAGCAGAAGAAAACAGAAAAAGAGGTAGCTGTAAGTTACATGTAAGCTTGGCCTCTGGTCTCAGTTTTTTTTACTAAGGTCTTACTATAAAATAGCTATAGGAATTCCATGGTACTGATAAAAGGTGTGTAAGCTGACTCTCTGTAGGTGTGGAACAGCACTATCGGTTATAAACAGTTTGCCCTGATCTTGTTAATGAACCCAACCGGATCAAAATCTGATACTTTCTCTGAACGTGAATGCCTTGAATAAAAACCCCAAATCCCCTAAGTAAATATGCTGAGAGAAGATGGGTAACCTGTGCTGTTTGTTTTATAGTTAAGGTTGCATAGACCCAGTTTATTTGTAACTAAGACAAGTTACACTCATCTTATGAGCAAAGATGCTCGGCACATGGGTTCATTCGTGAAATTAATTTCATAATTGCTTGGCAATGAATCATTGCTGGCCATGACCAAGAGCTTCCTTCACTGTTTCCTGCTGTTCTGACCGACTGTACAGACTGCCAGCTAGAGATGCTCCTTAAGCTGACAGGAATGAATGACTTTATAACATACTGTTGCCCCCGAACGCCATCTGCATCTTCCTTTTTTGAGGAGAGTTCTTGTGGGGTGGGAGGGAAGAACAGGTCAACAGCTCAAAGAGGCTAAAGCGTGCACTGCTGAGTGATGCTCTTCTGGAAAAACTGGAAAGAGTTTTCTTCATTGCCTTGGACTAGTTGAAACTTTAACCAAATACACTGCCTGATACAGCTACCAGCGCAATTATGAGTGTGCTGCCTTTTGAGATGATTCCCAGTAATGAAGTACACCTCTTTGCACGTCTAAAACAAATTGCAAGTACATTATGTGACTATAAAAAGCTACAATGACCTGAAAGCAGTTATAACTGCAAATATGCATCTGGATCTGACATTTTGTGTTAGAAAAGACATCAGCCACCCTGTCTCCTATAGATTCTGTGGGAAAAGCTCTCTAGAGATGGGTGAATCTCTACAGAAGAGGTTTCATAAAGAAAAACCTCTTCCGCTGCTTTTAAAACAGGCAGATGCAGACTTGTTTCTTGGCAGAAGCGGAAGGAATTTTGTTTGGATTTTTTTATGGTCTGCAGAAAAGCACATTCTCTCACTCTTGGTTGCACTTTCGAGCAGGGAGAGGTGAAATTTTAGATAGTTTGATTTTCTAAACACCTTATGTTCAGCTCTGCTGGCAATGAAATGCATCAGTACACAACAAAACTGAGTGCCTAGTAAATTTCTGAAGAACTAATGTAACCTTTTGGTCTACTCTGGCTGATGACACTATCAGACTTGATCTACCTAACAAATTGAAAAAGCAAACAAAAAAACTGCTTGGAGAATAGCTCACCACAGCCATGCTGAGAGTTACTGAAAGAGGACACTGGGAGAGCAGGAAGACCTAGGTGTAATTATTCAGATTTAGGGAAGACAGCCCCAGTAACTCATGTCATGGCTAGTCTTCACTTCCATGTTCTTGACGCTGTTCAAATAACTTGAGCACCGTCTCTGCAGTCAGATTTTGAACCCTTGTCTTTCAAAACAAACTTAATTTTGCATTGTATCATACCTAAAAACTTCTCATGGCCAAACAGTTGCAAGAACTCTGCTCCAGGAGCACAGCAGAATGCTTGTGAACTTAAGTAGTTCCCAGTATACTGCAGCTGCAGAAAAACTGGCAGTCCCTCAGCGCTGACAGCACTGAACAACTGGAAGGAGCTCTCAGATTAAATTAACTCTCAGTTGCAGAGCTTGGGAGCATCTCTTGACACTTGTGCTTTGGCTTTGCAATAGGAAAAATGTGAGAGTTGGAACTGAACTTTTTAAAGGATGCTGTAGAGTTGGGTGCAGATGTATACTTGGCTTGAAGCCATGAAGACTTTCAGACTTTCTGTCATGTCATCTGGAAGCATTAGCATGCCTGGCTGGTCAGGAATGCAGATGCTGCATCTGCTCATGCATTTCCTACACACTGGTCTGCATATTGTGCTGTTCTGGAAGGTGCTATTGTATGACTGAGGTCTCAGGGTTTCTGTTCCATGAGACAGAATTGTGGCTCTATAGAAACTGCCTTGGCAATAATATCAAATCAGAAGCGGCAGAACTTCTGGATGCTTTTTGGAGCCACATGGGGTAGGGGTGAAGAACAGTCTTTGCCACCATAGTCTGTCAAATTCTTGAAAAGAGGAAATGAGAACAAAGAAGAAATGTGGGAGGGTTCTAATGAAAAATATTGCCTGAGATACATTGTATATGCTTCCTGGTTTCTAAGGAACAAATGTAAATAGCTTTGACAACAGATGTGGAGTAAGCAGTGGGATCACCACACAGACTGTTAGCAGGTATTTGGCTTCAGGTATTTTGGGGTAGAAGAGCAATTGTCAACTTAATACAAGATAAAGGGAAAAGGCTGCACTAGTTCTAATAGCCTTGTTAAAACCACCTCTCCTGCAGCAAGCACAACAAGCTCTGTGGTGACTGACAGCAACAGCAAGCCACTTGACAGCACATTCCAGCAAACACTTGGGGGAAATCTTGGACCTTACAAGGCTGCCTCATTCGATGTACCCAACTGTGTGTCACCCCCCAAGCTTGCTGATGCGGGAGACATCAACAAAGTTTCTGACGTCCTGAAACAATACCTCTTCAGAGTTGGGGATGATGGGACTTGTTTGTATGACCCAAACTTCTTAGACATCTGCAATCCACCTCTTGCACCAGACACAACATACAGGTATAACTCTTATTTCTTACAAGGTGATTGCTGCTCTTAAAACTCATTTAAGAATGAAAATCTACTTTCTAGAGTTCCCTTATGATAGTATGATGTGAATTATCAGTACCTAACTGGAGGCTGAAATGCAGTATTGCAATGACAGTTATAAAGAAGGCTTGACTTTGGTCTAGCACTCTGCAGATCGTGCCCTATGGTGTTCTTGCAAACGTGAGCTCTATTGGGTTAAATTCATGGGTCAATAGGAAAACTCACGTGTGAACTTCTGGATCTATACTTAAATTGGAGCAGATGATTTAGGGGCAGTATCTGACCAGCAACTGATGGAAGAAGTGTGAAGAATGAAGTTGAGAATATTCGCCATGTATTTTGTGCTAGATGGGTCTGCCAAATAGCAGACATGAGTTTGGCCCTGCTTCATTTGTTTTGACGGAATTGTGGGAAGCCAAAGTTTTCTGCAACCTCCTGCTCCAGGAAGGTCTCAGGGTAATTGGAGACGTCACAGTAAGGGCCAGGCAGCTTGCAGGCTTGTCCAGCCCCTGCTGTCTGTTGAAGCGAACCATCTGGGGGGCATGGGCACACTCACTGCTATTACCCAACATTCTGGGTTTTGCTGTTACCCACTATTTAAAAGCTGTAGTAAAGATGGCAGCCATATGAAGCTGTATCTTCTGTAGAAACTTTTGCTTCTGAAACAAAATACTATGGGATCTTTTGAGAAAACTGTCTACCCTCCTCTGTCTCCAGACATTAAGACTCAAACTATTGTAGAATGGAAACTGAATTCCTTTGCCAAATGTGTTGTTGGCCTGCTTTTTCAATGCTTTTCCTATCAGAGAAAGTGCCAAAGGTTTCTATTGTTGGACAAAATGTTTGACTTCCATATAGAAATCAAAACCACTTGCTGCTCTAAATAGTGAGGCTTTTCATAAGGGAATAGCAAACTGGGAAAAACTAGTTTTGGAAAGCTAATACCTGCCAAGGCTCATAAAAATGGAGTGCAAACTCTACATGTCATAGCACAGAACGCTTCTTCTATTAATACTATTTGTTCCTTATAAGGTCTCTGAAAATAGTTATCTTTCACTGCTTCTGCGTAATGCTTCAACCGAAAACGGGAGTCTGAGTAGCTAATCTACAAAAGGAAGCTCAACATTTGAAATACCTAATTTAATGCTCTGTGCTCCACAGGTTTAAATATGTGTTGGTTGATAACACTGAAGGTATCATGAAAGACCAAACTCTTTGGTCTGATCCAATCAAAACCAGAAAAGGTAAGTCTGTAGTTTTGCTCAGGTCTTCTGAAGTAGCCTTGTTTGCCTTAGGACATTACTGGTTTCCTAATGAGCAATGTCTAGCATTTTTCTACAGCTTTCATAATTCTGTCAGCCTTTCAGTTCTGGAGTAGCAAATACGAGATAATGATCTGCTTCTTTTGTGTACTTTAAAGCTTTGATAAAGTTTGTGCATGTGATTGCAGACTTGATGGCTGTTCATGTAATCGGGCGTTGCCAAAATTTCTAGGTAGTACAGATACTTGTCAAGTTTATAGCTTCAAAATGCTGACACTGAATCTAAAGCTTCTTCACCATAAATCACTTAGACATCAGCTTTCCTCTCCTAAATCACCTCCTTTCCCCCATTTAGTAAGGTTGTACGTAGTGAAAAAAATGATTCCTAGGAACATTCTTTCCATGGTTTTCTAGCTAAACTTCCCATGAAAATTGATATTTGGCCTGGTCGAAGGAGTGGAAGCATGATCGTCATTACGTCAATTCTAAGTGTGTCAGTGTTCCTTCTGCTTGCTGGCTTGCTCGCTTCTGTGTTTTCTGCTCTTGTGTAAGTACTGCTACACCCTGCAACTTCTAGTAGTAGCACCTAATCCCCTGGCAATCAACATTCTTTTCTATAGTTCCATGCCACTGTTGGTAGTGGTGTTCGATATGACAGACCAGATGATATTCTTTCTCTATTGAACCTCTTATCAGCAGAAGAGGAAACTTTGTCAAATAATCTTCCCTACCAAGGCTGAGATCAACAACTCTTGTAATCATTATGCACGCTAAAACGGTCAGACTTCAGTATGGACTGATGAAAAAAAATAAAGCCTATGCATTGTTTTGTGTATTACAGGTTTCCATATATGTAGAATTTGGCAACTGTCTTAGGGGGGTTAGGCCTTCATAGTGATCATATAGTGTTTTAATTAACACCTGCTTGATTTTGATTGATTCAGCTCTTCCATAGGATAAATAAATTACCATTTTGAATTAATAAACAGTGATTATTAAAAAAATAAATCTGTAGGCTTCTCATACTAAATGTTGTAAGTAGCAATTGACCTTTGCAAAATATACTGACAATAGGCTCCACTCAGTCTCTATTGGAACTTACTGAATTCTTTCCCATAACCACTAGGGAATCAGAAGATCCTTCTGCAGAGACAAAGGGCACATCTGGGACTACTCAACAGAGTGAACTGAGACCACAGCTAAGCTCTGAGTGAACAGCCACGTTCAAGTGAAGTCTGGAAATAAAGCTGAAAATGTGCCATGCCCTGCAGGACTGACTCTTCTGCCCAGCACTGGCCCCCTGCTACAATATGCAACCAACTGGGCCTGTACAACAAACAAAAAAAAGGACTGTTTTTTAAGTCTAGCAGTAGATGATATCCTGTCTTGTCCTAATAAGATTTTACTTAGGTGATTGCTGTTTGTAGCACACGTCATGTGCCTGGTCTGCAGATGAAGGTTCATGAGATCCTTCAGCTTCAACATTCCAATGATAAGTTGTCTAGCACACATTCACATGTGGAGTAAACATTACAACAGGCATCTGCTTCTCATGTTCAGATGAATATGACACAGCCATTGGAGTCTCAGCCTTTCTCTATATAGTATCTGCTGAAGAATTAAAGAAAAACCGCTATAGAAAAAAAATGTTGCAAGACAAAAGTAGAGATTGAAAGGTGAATACACTTATAAACAGGGTCTTCCTCAACATTTTAGTGACTATGTGTCATGCTTTCATTTTTTTCTCTTCTTTCCAGAAAGGAAGAAACTGAATTCCAATTACCCTGCACATAGCAGAGTAATCCTGACCTCATATGCTTAAATATCCTCAAATTGTTTTGCAGGAATGGTAGCTAATAAAATTGCTTCAGATTTCTTCAGAGCTAAGTGTTATTGTTGATGGACTAGTAAAGTTGTGATACTGCTTTGATGGAAAAGCATAAGTATATTCACAGCTATCAGGCTTAGCCTCACTTTTGCCTTTTCTTTATCTTAGGCAGCAGCACCTTCACATCTTACTATCTAGGCTGGTGGGGGGTTTAGAGATGATTCTTCATTTTATGATTTATTGGTGATTAGAAATAAATCTTTGCACCAAGTTTAAGTTACGTACTGCATTTTCTTTCTTTCTTTCTTTTTTTTCCCCCTCTAATACCACCCTGCAACAGGTTTGTCTCCATAAATGACTAATAAGGATTCATTTTCAGAGCCCTCTTCTGTATGTATGAGCAGCTGTTCTACTGTACTTACTGGTGATGAGCAAAAAGCTCTCACTAGTTATTACTGATGTTCCCCTAGTTTACTATTACATTGGATTAAACTGTCTGGGTAACTGCTCTTTTTTGACATGTGCCTTCTGGCTAGAAATGGATGCTCAAGTACCAGGAATGGTTTGGGTTTTCTTGTTTCTTTCTACACTTAAATTGGTGCCTTGCTGCTCTAAACACAATTCTGAGGTACTTCCCCATTCATGTATTGAATCAAGGGACATCTGGAGAAAATTGCACATTTACAGCTCATACTGTCATGTTGAAAATTAGAGTGTATGAGAGATCCTTGTACTGTTCGCCTCCCTTTTAAGCCCAAACAAGTACTTTGTTTTCAGAAGGCTGTAACTCCTTGCTCTGACCCATTTGAAGAATTGGCTAACAGTAGGATCATTAAAATGAATGAAGCCAAGTAAGTTTCCTTTCAACTGCAGGCAGTAAATGCATTATATTGGAAGCCATATCAGTAAATTTTATTACTGAAATAACTTTTTTTTTTTTTTTAAGAAAAGTCGCTTGAGACCGTCAGCACCTACAGCTATCATTTAAAACAACGGTAGAATAATTCAGTTTTGTTTTCTGTCAGTATCTTTCCAGCCATTCACATCAAGCAGTTTATGTCACCCAACAGAGAACTGGTTTTAGTCAGTTTAATGCCTTTAATAGGTGTAGGGGAATAGCTTGCTTTCATTTTTTTGCTTCCCTTGCATCTTTCCTTCAAAAGATTTTCATCTTGCCTGATTTCTTTATGAAAATTTTAGAATGGATGGTAGGTGTACAACCAAGATGTTATAATCACAATATAATTGTGTATAATCAATAGATATCAAGATGCTATAATCGCAATATAATCAAGAGAGTAAGGCAAAGCAGACAACGATAACAAAAAGAGAATAAGTGGAAGAGCTTACCCTTGGGTTGAGCTCACCAGAAGACACCAAGAGAGGTGATCTCCAGAAGAGATCCTTCCCCTCTGGTAGCCAGCTCTTAAATAGGTCCAGGAGGGCTGGAGCCTGGCTCCACCCCTTCCGGCAGCACAGGTGAATTGCCTTCACCTGAGCTCCTCTGGCTGACTCAAGGCTCACCTCAGGTGATCAATCAGAGGTTCAGGCCGTGACTCAGCAGTTCCCATACAGTAGGTTTTTCCTCCCTCACTACTTAACTGGAATTAATTCCGTCTCAGACACTCCTATATTAGCATTCATACATGCTCTTAAGATTTTATTTAAGATTTTGAGAACTTTTCCAGTGTTCAGAAAGTGTGTGGCAAAATAATTCCGCCTTTTTAAAGCTTCAGATCTTATGACTTCAGATCTTCCTCCTCAAAGAGAATGAGAAGAAAGACAAACTCTGACACGGTTCAGTTCTTATCAGAATTTCCTCTTGAAAACATGAAAATAACATGACTAAGGCTACTTTTTATGAAACTCCAGTTTTAGGCAACAAGAACTGTGCTTGGAACAGCCTCGGATTTTCACAAGTTAATGTATGTCAAGTGCCCATTAGTTTTATTGTGAACCATATTTCAGGACTGTGCAAAGATAAAACGGCAGACATGATGAATACCAGAACAGAATCCCAACTACTTTTGCCTCTCTATGTGATATTTTCATTAATCTAAATACTGACTTTTCCCCTCTGCTTCTGTCTCCTCACTGAAGAGACAGTATGGAAATTTCTGTTTGGATCCTACCAGAAGAATGTCCTGACTTCCATCCTGGTCACACAGAAAAAGCATAAAGTATCAATTATTAATAGCATTTCTTATGTTTGCAGGTTTAAGAAAGAGAAAGGTTGAAGGACACTGATTTTGAAAGGACTGCAAAAAAGACCACAGTAAGCTTTTCAGGAGTTGTAGCCAAATCTGGTACCATTTTTGCTCAAATATGATACAGATAAAACAAAAGGATGCTTTCCAGCACTTACGTATGTTTTCATTAGAAATTTCAACAGAAATGAAATGGTTGTCTAGGTACTGTAGCTGTTAACATTTCTAGGCTGAGCTCAAGTTCTGTCAGTGCTGCACATAATGACTGTGAACAAGCTGAACTTGGAAAGCTCTGAGACTTTGACCCATACCTGCTGTTCTGCACAGAGGTGGATGTAATTCTAATGGATTTAGTTTACCCATAGTTTTGAACTTCATTTCTGGTATCTTTTATTTGGTTCCTGATACTTCTCTGGATCAAGTGATGTAGAAAAATTAGTGCAAGGAAGGAGTTATGGTATACGTTTTCAGCTGTACTCTAGGTTGAGATTTAAATGATGGACAAATTACATTAAATTATGTTTGCATCACTTATTCCAGTATGCTCTCTGCTGAGGTCCCAGCAGAAATGTTGCCTTAGACCTGCTAGCAGATGTACTGACTGCACTGAGATTCTGTACAATTGAAAGCTGAAGTTCTCTGCTATCTTGCATTCCTCTGTGGGTTTGTTGTCTCATCCCTGTTAGGCTGTAAATTCCCCAGGATAAAGACTATCTTTGGGTAAACATACCAGCACTCTGTATTGCTATTTCACAACTGGATATATTGCAATGCATAGCTATAATGCTAATATTGACAACAAGTACAGATACTCCAGGATTGAGTTCTGCCTTTGCAGCACATAAATATCTAGGAGTTACATGGTGAAGGCACCGCTTTATCCTGTGACATTACCACAGAATCACAGAATGGATCTAGTCAAATCCTCCAGTTCTGGGCTAGTTCAAGCTGTTCAAAGCCCCGTCCAACCGTCCTGTAAACGCTTCCAGTGTTCTTTCTGACTGCAAATCATAGCATGTCATCTACTCTCATTCATTTCCTCAACATACAGCATCAATATTTTCACATAATGCTTTGTTTGCACACCTCAAGTCCTAGACAAGTTTTAGTAGTGCTGATGAAAATCAGGCACCCTAGACCTGTCTTTTCTGTAGAAATGTTTCCAATATCTCAGTCAGTGTTAGAAAACTGAGGTTATTTGCTATCTATCCTTCCTCAGGCCTTCTAAAATAAGGAATACTCCAGGAAAGATGCCTTATTTTTTCTAAACAAAGTCAATGGCATTATCTGCATTATTGTTATATCTTTATTGATATAGAGAGTCTGTAGGTCTCCCTAGAAACTTCAATGTCTCGTATACAGAAAGAACTACTTCTATATAGGATGGATTTTGTTGCATCGTTGTCTCATGGACTGAATCTTAACAATCTCTCATGTGTGCTAGAGTAAACTGAAAGAATATAAATCTAGTCAGAAGGTATTGTTCCTCATATCTAAATGATAAAGACTCATTCATGCAATAGCCTTAATTCCAGATAATGTTCTCAATCCCTTCTTTATATAAATAGTGCACAATATTTAGAAGAGAAAAAATGGATGTAACACCAACAGAAGAATACTACAGCTCTGCCCTACAAATTGTACAAACTCAGCTTAAGCTTCCTCCATTGAAAAAGAAGTTACTGAAAATTATATGCATCAGCATCTTCTCTTTTCTTTTTTCCATATCTTCTTCCTTGATTTTTATTTACTGTACTTATTTATTTGGAAGCAAATCCGTCCCTCTTTCCAGTGATTCAAACTCAACCTCTCAGATGTTTGATAAGCTGGACTACCTCCCCCTCTGTGCCTTGGAATAGAGGGAGCTGTTCAGGTTAGACAGTGTCTGCAAATATCCCTTTATTACTTTCACATTTGGGTTTTACAACATAATACACACCATACTGCTGCTTTGGAGTGTTGCAAATCGATGTTGTAACTGAAAAATTGAAATGCAGAGGATGAGCAAATAGTAATAATCAGTTTAATATACTGTAGCAGTTCCTAAGTACCTAGTTCTGTGTGTCTGTTGGTTCTGATTATTTAATTTAATGGTTTTTATTTTTTTATTTTAGATACTCTGGATACATTCAGCTATAAGATATATTGATCTTTCAAACTGTGTCATAATAGCACATCT